TTCTTTTTTCTCTTAAAATGGAGCATCATAAAAAATATTCAAGAATAGAATATAGTAAATAAATAAATTGCAAATCTTTAGTTAGGATATGAATAATATGTGTAGAATTCAAATAATTGGATAGTACACTTTTGTTGGATAAATACTATCTCAGATTTGATTTCATATAGGTAAATTATATCAAAATCCATGTCCTTGAAAAATTAAGATGATATTAAACAAAAATAGTTATGGAATGAATTAATTAAACAAGAGATTATTTAGGTATTGCCTTATGATAAATATCTTGGGAAAGTAAATAATAGTTGCTCCTTTAAGTCTATTGATTATGAAACAGAACAAATTTTAAATGGATAAGGTTTGAAAAAAATGAAATTATTTTAAAATGCTATCGTAAATCAATAATTGGCTAATAAATAAAATTTCTTTTAATTTTATCTAGATTTTACATTTTAAAAACTAAAACAACCAGATGAAAAAAACAATCTACCACCAAGATTTGAATTATTTGGTGCTGATGAATAAATGAAGAAACTTTAACGTTTATATCAATTGTTAAAAGAGATTAAAGAAAAGATCTCAGAACAATATATTGAAAGTTAAGTTGAATCATTCCCATAGCTCTCTTAAGAAGTTGAAGCAAAAAATAACGTTAATTAATATGATCTAGTTTTAGATAAAGAAGGAGAAGTTCAATAATTAGAGTTTAGTCTTTTCAAACTTTCATATTTACTTCATGAAGTTGATTTTACTATGATTATAGAAAAAAAGAGAATAGAAATCTGCTAAGAAAAATTTAAATTGCATGAAAACTAAAATCAAAAAGATAAGCACAATTAGAATAAAAAAGACTAAAATAAACAAGGAGTTTAATAAAAGTAGCTTGAAAATATTTATAATGAGTGGATCAACTTAGATTTTCCAATAAATACATTGAAATTTTTAATCTCATTACAAAACAAAGAGTATTTCACTTCAAATTTTCTAAAATTGTAAAAACAGAATCCAAACAATAATAAAAGCCAATTCAAGAGAATGATTTAAGTTTATTTATTCGTGATGTTTAACTTTCTATAGAAAAGTTTTTATAAGAACTTAATATTTAATAATAATCATTATCGAAATTTTGGAGGAGCGACAATAAGCTAACAACCATTACAGATAATGAATAATAAGATTAAAAAATAAATTAATTCTTATCTGATATCATTGAAAGGGATAAAATAAGATTTTTTAATGATGAATACCATAAAGAATTTAAGGAATTTCTTATTCAATAAAAATTTCAAACTCTTGAAGATATATAAAAATTTAGCTTTAAAGTATAAAACTATATCAAAATGATGAAAAAATTTTAAAAGGCTAACAAATGTAAAAAGCTTATATTTTTCCAAAATTTGAGTTCAATCTCAAATCTACTTTAGAAACTAAATAAAATAAAGAGCTTAAATAATAATAAGACAATAACCAATAATAAGAAATACCAATAAGTTAATTGATTTTGGAACAAAAAAAAGATGTTGAAGCATTTCTGTAAAAGGATATAAAAGATAAAAGTGGTATTCACAAAATAATTAAATAAATTGTAACCTTAAGAAATAAAATTATAGTTAATTTTGCTTCTTAATAGAATAGCTAAGAATATTCAGCTTTAATTTTATAAACTTAACTCTATAATTCATTTTTTAAATTAAATTTGTCCTCTTAGTAAGATATTGAATAATGCAAGATGGATATATTGGAGTTATACAAATAATTTGAGTAATTAAATTCTATTTAATATTAGAATCCAAAAGATCAAACTTTAACATAAAATGATATTAAATATAAGAATACATAAGATCAAATTTAGAATGAAAGTAATGAATAGAATGAATATTTAACACCTATTTCAAAAAATATAAACTAATTGAATAACTAAATAATGAATATTAACATAATTATTGATAATATGGAAGAATTATCTTAGTATGTTCATTAAAATTGTATGGGTTTCGAGTATTTAACTGGAAGATCATTATCAAAAATATATCTTAGATAATGTTAAATCAATAATCAAAGAATTAATAAATCAATCATAATTAAATAAATTATTAAATGAATTTATAGAGAATATTGAGGATAAATAGAAAACTCAAGGAAATTTGTTAAAAAATAAAAAAAACTTTACTTTAAAAGATTTTGCCACTATTTTTTGTTATAATTAGATAACTTCAGATAAAGCAGTTTAGATAGATAAAGACTATTAAGAATTATTAGATAATTTAGAATAGGAAATGATAGTGGAAAGAAAGATCTATGATTTAAGTAAAGATTATATAGTTCTTTAATGTTTCCTCTTTCATTTAATAAAAATTTAATCCTAAGTCCCTGAAAAAGAAATATTATTGCTTTGTCAAGAATATATAAAACGGATATGGATGATAGAAAAGGATGAAAGTGTTAGAGCTTTTCTAAAAAATAAAGAGATGATAGAAATATAAAAATAACTATTCTCTCATGATCTTAAAAGTTTCTCTTCAAGTATTAAAGATGAGATGAATTAAAAATTGAAGGAAATGGAGGATATCGAGTAAGCAATTCACTTTGAAGGCAATCAATTTGAGAGAGATGAATTATCAAAACAATTAACAAATAAATATGAGGAATTTGAAGAATTTCTAGAGAATATTTCTGAAATGTCTTAGTAATTGGATATTGCTTTAATCTTTTTATAAGAACTTTCAAAAAAAGTAAAGTAAATTAAAAAGAAAATAGATAATCTTTAAGAATAAATAAATGAGATTGGAAATGATGTGAGAAAATTAAGAGGAAAAAAATATGATGAGTTGTTTAAAATTAGAAGAGAAAAGGTATTATCTTAAGCCTATCTTTTGGAACTTGATTCTGTATACATCCCATTAAAAACATAGGAGATCAATCCTCTAAAACACTCTATCAGGTTAACAATTTTCTGAGTTGCTTATTGAAAACATTAAATAAAACTAAATAGATGGGAGGAAGGAGAAGTGAATTAATTTATCTATGAAGAAGAGAAAAAAGATGTTATGTTGATAAAAGGTCAAGCTGGTTGCGGTAAAAGTAGAGCAGCTAGAAAGATTGAAGAGTATCTATGGAAACAAAACCCAGACCTAAAGGATTGGATTCCAATCTATATATCATTACCATAATTAAAAACCCAAAGTTTAATCTATTAGATCAAGCACTTGAATCTGAAAATTATGGGTTTGATAAGTTGTAATTGAAAGATTTTAAAGAAGCAATTTAGAAAAATCTGATTAAAGTAGTAATGATTCTTGATAGTCACGATGAAATGAAGCAGAATTGTATTTAATCCAATTTAATATTAACAAATAGATTAATATAAGATTGTACTAAAATGGATTAAGAAATAAAGAAAGTAAAATTTATAATAACAACTCGCAAAGAAATATTGACAAGTTTAGGATATTAAACATGGTTTTATGGAGAAAGTCTTTAAATATTAAAAGAGATCGAAATCATGAGTTTTAATAAATCACAAAGTGAGAGTTATCTCAAACATTATGTTAAATTGAGTATTAAAAGAAGAATTAAATCATCATATGATTTTGTCAAATAAATTAAACAATAGAGTTTAGATGTTAAAGAATTTTTAGTGATTTGGAATGATATTTTAGGTTATGTTGATGATGAAGATGAGATTAATCAGAATTCTAATATGTTACAAACTGATGAATAAATTGAGAATATTTAGGAAGTATTATAAAAATAACCTTTATTCCAATACGTTTAAAAGGATTAGCTAACAATCTTAAAAAAAGAACTTCAAGATTTTAGAGCGCAGGGTTATTTAATAAAACTAGTGAAAACCTAAATATTTAACATTTCTTAAAGACTCCATTTATGCTAGAAATAGTAGTTTAAACACTTCCTAGTCTTTCTTTAAAATATAAAGGATCTCATGAATTTAAGGAAATATTTCAGAATAACTTTTTATTTCTAAAAAGCAAGGAAAACCGATCAAAAAAATTATGCACAGAAAAATAAATAGAAGTAAAGTGAAATTGAAAAAGATTAAGAGGATCAATAAGATTTTAAAAGTCTATAAATCATTGTTGATTAATGAGAAAGTTAACGATTTTTTTAAAAGAATTCGATAACTAATATATCTTCAATAACAAATAAAATAAAAAATATAAGTGAAGATGATTTAAAAATTGTGATTGCTGCTTTGAAAATGAAGATATTTACAATTTATGAATTCTATTAAAACTTTATAGAATTTTATCATGAATAACAAATATAGAAACTTAGATAATTGGGAAAAGTTGACACTTTAGATAGTTTTATGCTAGATTTATTATAATATTCAGAATCATTAGCTATAGAAATAACGATGAATTAAACAACATAAGTTAATTTGAACAAAAAGGTAGGTTAAAATTAAAAAAAGCATTATTTTGACTAAAATAATGAAGGTGATTGGAAAATACTATATTTTGATGATTTGGAAGATGAATATAGGAAACTTGTTAGAAGTTCAGCATTAATTAGTTTGAAAGGTAAAAGCTATACATAATTTAATCATAAATCTTTATAAGAATTTTATGTAGCTAAACATATAAATAATTTAATTGATAAACTTGAATTAATTAACAATTAACTTACTCAAAAAAGTGTAAATTATTTGGAAAAATCAGTATTTAATAAGAAAGAATTCAAAATCTCATTAGAAAATATTTTGGTTCTTTGAGCATATTAAAAGAAAAACTAAAACTTAAGAATGAAAATAACCTTAAATTAATTGCTTTTGCTAAACTATCTGCAAATAAATAATTAAAAATAGCTTCTTCAAATAGTTTTTGTTTATTAAGTTATTTATAAGTGTATCTAGGAGAGCAAGATTTTTCAGGAATAGAGATAGAAAAGACAACTTTTAAAGGATTATCTTTTTATAAAAGCAAATTAAAAAAATCAATATTTAATGAAGTAATTATTGATTCTTGCCTATTTGATCAAGCTAATTTGAAGGAGGCCTAATGGACAAATATGATATGTTCTGAGAAACCATTGTTAGAAGGACATAAAGGTGATGTTATTGTAATATAATATTCAAATAATTGTAAATTGATAGCAAGTGGAGATTCATAAAAAGTTGTAAAATGTTGGGATGTTGTAACATTTTAACAAGAAGGAGAGATTAGTGATATTTCTGGTATACCCAAATTCTTAGTGTTCTCAGTTGATGATTAACTGTTATTTGTAGGGGGTGATACAAATATAATTGAGTCTTGTTTGATAAGTGATCTAAGGAAAATCATAAAATCAAGTTGTGTAATAAATAAAAAAGAAAACATCATCTAAATGTAATTGTCATCAAATGAAAAAGAATTATTAGCTGTTGATGATAAGGGATTAATATAATTTTGGGATCTCAATTTAATCAAAAGAAATCTCAATGATGAATTTATTCTTAAGAGCTCAGACAGTTAGATAAAATTTATTTCCTTTTTTAAGAATGGTGAAATGTTGGTTTCTGCAAGTGGGTTTGGGTTTGGGTTTGGTTTTTACTATAATAATAATAATAGCTATACCTACCTAGCGATAGGTTTTTACTATAATA